ATACGCCGAACCGACCCTACGCCGAGATAGCCACGCCGAAATGTCCTAGACCGACTATTATTATTTATTCAGTTTTACTCATGAGTCATGACTCGTGCGATCAACATTGAACATTGCACATTCTAGCTAGGTCTATATAGGTACTGTCATTAAACCGYAAACWGCATTTACAATTATAACTGAACATTTTCGGTATTAAAAACTCATACTATCGATATAGTATTTTCTCAACACTTCGGATAGACACATAGTACCTACAATTTTAGCAATGTTCGAAATGGACCGGAACGTCGTAGGTTAGCACTAGGGTCCATCCTGGTTGGTTATAATGTAAGAATTTTAGAGTCCCGATAAGTAAAAATATTGAAAACAAAAATAAAATGTGAAAGTATCACAATCAAGAGGATTAAAATTATCARATTTGATTTTGAGAAATTATATACCATATATAAGCCCAAKCTATGTTTTTCGTAGCCAATTGCCATTCATTTCTTCCTATCACAATTACAATGTTATAATCAAAAGTGCATGTACTTACTAACCTATTGCCAAAATATAGATGAGACAACATTTTATAATGAGATCCCACACCCACCCATAGGTCTTAACTCCCTTAGAAATATAAAATTCAAAGCACGTCAATCAAAGCTGTAGTATAGGCCTCACAGGTTAAAAATTACAATCTCTCAATTTTGAAATTCAATTTGAGCCCAACTTTTTAATTTAAATTAATTTTAAATTGCAGTCATATTATATTTTATYCATATATAATTAATAGTTAAATATACATTTATTTATTTATTTAACTACTAAATTTATTATTTAATTTTCGCAAAATATATAGTGAATATCATTACTGAATCTAATTATTTCATTACTTAACCTATAAGATTTAATAACTATAATGCTATAAAATTTTACTATATATAATGTTAATATACTTTGTGTATATTACTAGTTTTKTATTGCTTAGGCGACACCTAATGGTAGTATTGTACCACCTAACCACCCACGATCCACCCCTTAAAAAAGTTGTGAATACTGTCACGCCTTTATACCATATTCGGTGCTACTGCTATTGATTACCAGTGAGTGTCGTATCCAAGAATTTATATTGTATATGTATTATAAATAATAATAAGTGAGAGATTAACGGGTCACTTACCTAGTTACCTATCTCTTAATTCATGATATAATATGATATAAATAGWTTGTTGATAYATTATAAAAATATATATATCTACAGATTGTTTTTATTCAGATAGGCATTGCATAATATCAGAACCTTGCTGAATAAAACAATGTATGATGAGGATGACATATATTCTTAATAATAATAAAATCACAAAACAATATACAAACAGTAAAACTTAAATTAAATACACATAATAAAGATCAAAAAGGTATATTATAATATTATATATAAAGGTATGCCTAATCTAAATTGAATGCTTATTACAAAAMTTTAAACATTTCTTATTATAATATTGATTAATATATAGATCTCGAAACAATAAAGAATAAATAAAATTGTACATAACATATTAAGGTAACAACCTAGTTAAAGAAATATTTTTTCAATACTTAGATTTTAGATTTCAAAACCTACCTCCCAAGAATTGTAACAATATATTTTCTTTATGTTTGATATTTGCTATACCAGATTCACTATATGGGATATCCCATGCGGACAAATTGGCATCAAATATTTCCATTGATCTCCGAACATATTTTAATGCTTTATGAATTAAATTCCTAAAATAATGATACTGTAGTAAATATAATTCACATTCACAATTAGATTACTATTTGGGTTAAGAATATGTAAAAATATAATGTATTACAATTTACGATTTATACGATTTATAATACTACAGCTATAAGTGCTATAATATCAACTTCAAAATTTAAATAATTATAGCTTATAGCTATGGACTTATTTGTCCAATATTCAATTCATAAGAAAATAACATATTTCGTAAAATATTGTGAAGAATCAGAAAAAATATTATTTTAATAATGAAGAATCAAAAGGGATAGGTACCTAATAAGAATCATCTCAAATTCTAAAAATGTATATAGAAATATTAATACATAACAATAATTACCGATCATTTCTCATGTCTAAATTGTTGACCATTATATCTGACATTTTATCCAATTCATAAGCAACTTCTAAACTATTTTTGCCAAAACGATCTTCTATTGCTTCAAAACTTCTATCCAAATACATATAACAATTCTCGAAATCTCCTTAAATTACATAATACAACAATTTTAACTAGGAATTATTTAAATAAAATGATAAATAAATATAAGTACAATAAATAAAAACATTTCACTTTTGA